CCCCCCCCCCCCCCCCCCCCGAAAATCCTTTTTTTCTTTATTCCTTTTTGATAAAAAAGAAAAAAAAAAAAAGTCCTTTCTTTGTTATGGCATTACTGTTGTGTTTCTTTGCTTTTAAATTCCTTCTAGTTCAACCACTATTTTTATAATAATTTTTCTTTTTGAAATATTTCTTCCCTCAGTTCTATCACATTTCTGATTTTTCTAATACTAATTGCTATTGTTCTTTCATATCTTGTATCCTTTTCTTAATTTTATTCCATTTTGAAGGATTAAGTTATAATTTTAATCTATTTGGTGTCTTTCTGAAATGCTTTTATTGCCTATGGGATGCTTTTTTTTTTTTTTTTTTTTTTTTTTTAAAAGGCTATGATTTTATTTTATTTTATTTTTTTTTTTTTATTAATTATTATTATTATTTTTTTTTAAAGATGACCGGTAAGGGGATCTTAACCCTTGGCTTGGTATTGTCAGCACCACGCTCAGCCAGTGAGCGAACCAGCCATCCCTATGTGGGATCCGAACCCGGGGCCTTGGTGTTATCAGCACCACACTCTCCCGAGTGAGCCACAGGCCGGCCCCGATGGGATGCTTTTTAATCTTTCTTTTACATATGCTTAGAAAGATAAAATGACCTTCTCAAGACCCTACAGTTACTAAGTGGCAAAGCAGGCATTCATAACCATATTTATCTGACTCCAAAGCCTATAATCTTTCTACAGTGTACCAGATAATTTACAAGTAAAATCTCATTTAATACAACATCTTGCAATATGGTTTTATTACTGATGAGGAAACTAAGGCTCAGAGAGCAACTTCAGATATATGTGGGCACTTGTGGTGGTTTCAACAGCTACAGAGTACCAGGTCCTCAGTTCTTGCTCAAGAGCAATGGTGTGATTCTAGCAGCAGCAGGGGCTCAGCCTTGAATGTGTCTCATGGACTCTAAATGCAGAGGAAGTAGTAGCTTCCTGATATTTGGGCAATAACTTCTTTCGCCCTTTCACTACTACAATCCTGTTCTTTCTGCCCTATGTTCTTTTATCCCTTCTAACACTTTTCTTATAAATTCCCTGCATAACCCCTCAGTGATTTAGATATCAGAGTTGTTGTGCTCAATAGACACTGTCTGATACAGTTAATTTTTTCCATTTATTAATTATTTTTATGTGATGGGCGATTTGGAAACAATGATAAACAAGACAAACCCTGCCCTTGTGAAGCTTGTATACTAGTGGGAAGTCAGGCAATAAGAAGTAAACAAATAATTACACAAAATGATTTAAGACTGTGATAAGTGCTATAAAAACAGAAGTGGCTTAAACAATAAATAATTCTCTCTCTTGTATAAATGAAGTCAGGAGGTAACAGCAGGTAACCCAGGACTGGTATGGTTGCTCCGAATAATCAAGTCTCCTTTAAGCTCAGAACTTCATATTCCTGTAGTGTGACTCTCCTCCAATATGGTGGTAAAGCTCCAGCCAACAGATGGCCGTTAAGGGGATCCAAACCCTTGACCTTGTTGTTGTAACACAGCACTCTAACGAACTGGGCAAACCTGCCCTGCCAGGTCTTTCTAACTGCGGAATTCCTAGCAATCAGTACTGCATAAAGACTACGATTCCCAGCATGCCTCAGGGCACCTCCGGGAGGACTTCGACTCCCAGCATGCTGTACTTTGGGACGCCGAGTCCTGGAAAGCGACGCTCTCCTCCTTGGTCTCAGCCTGCCATTGAGACTACAGTTCCCAGCGTGCAGCGCCCCCCCCGTTTCTGGCGCCCCTCTCGGCCCTGCTTCGGAGGGATCTTTTGGACTCTAGAGAGCAGTTCCTGGAGTCACAGCCCCCTTTGGCAAGCGTGTCTGCGCAGCACTTCGGTGCCGTTGAGCTTGTCCAGACGAAGCCTCGAAGGGATGAGTTGGCGCCTGGGCCGGGCTTCGGTCAGGCAGTGTTTGAGGCAGCCCCAACGGGGTCCTCAAGGGGCCTTCCTCCCTTTGAACGGCGGTGGCGGGCGGGTGCGTGTCTTCTCCAGCACTTCTTAGAGTGGGGGCCACCACCTCCATGGCCACGACTGTGACTGGGCCGTGCGCCGGCAGGTCGCGGGACATCCTGTGGCGTGTGAGTGCAGCGCGGTCTGTGGCACGCGTTGCAAGGGTCGGGCTGGGCGAGCCGGCTCTGGCCGCGCGTGCGCGCTGGGCGGGGGAGGGGAGGGTCTGGCGGTAGAGTGCGGAGAACGCTTGCGGAGCAGACCCCCCGGGGGACTGGTTACAGGGTTGTCACCTGGGGGACTGGTTACAGGGTGGTCCGGGGCGTCTTGAGTGGAAGCTGGTTACGAGGTGGGAGAGGAGTCCCGAATGGAAGCTGGTCAAAGTGGGAGGCATGACTTGACTGGAAAGTGGGGAAGGGAGCGGAGAGTTTATAGTGTATCCAGTAGGTGCAAAATAATTAACTGGATTCTTTGGGATAAGAAGTGGGACGGAACGTCCAGAATTGGAAAGAATGTGGCGTGGCTTTAGCAGAGGCTGGGGTTGGGCACCAGGTAATCAGGGCAGGTATTAAGTTACAGTTATGGGTGCACCGTGGGACTGAGCCGAGGAGACGCTTCCTCGCCGAAGTCGTTTAATCAACAGTACTGCAGCCGTTCTGTGGAAGGCAAAGAGAAATAGGAATAAGGTCCCTTTGTGAATAGTACTTCTACCCTATTGTACTGCCATCTTTTCTGTATCCCAAGCTAACAATTTTTGGGGCCTTCAGTCCTATCTGTTCTGTCCCACCTATATTATCAATCACGCAGTCCTGTAGATTCTACCTTAGAAATTTTGCTGCAGTTTCTTTTTCCTTTCCCCTTGCTATCACTTCTGTTCAGACATTGATTATAATCTTTAGCTCGGGACATTGCGGTGGACAATTTTCTAACGTTTTTGTCTCCTGTCTTGGTCTGGTCCCTTCTGATCCATGTTCCTGGCAATCACTTTACAGTAAACACAAAGATGTTTTGCCTTTCAGAATATAAATCCGATGGTCACGTTCATGCTTAAAACCCCTTAGTATCTCTCCTTGTATTACTATTCAACAGTAAGTCTTGTACCTCCCATGTGGTAGGCACTGGCGATTCGGAAATGAATACAATGCTGCAGTGTAGTAATTGCCCAGTAAGGAGTGCGTATCTAATAACTGTAAATACAATTGCAGTATACAGATGCTTCCAACGAAAGTATATACAACCTTTAGATATTACTATAACTGTCATTTAAACCTAGAGAGACAAACGTTAGTTGCTATAAAATAGTTATAAAACTAAATAACAATGGCCCAACCTCCCTCCCCACCAAGTGGTATTTGATGTTGCACCTGTCTCTGGACTAATGCAAGCATCAGTTCACTGACACTACAAGATTTTGTAGTGATATGCATTGTTAATAGTAGTAACCACTTGGGTTTATATGTAGCTGCATAGACTGTGACCTGGGTATAAATATTAGTGATTAACATTGACATCCTGTATGAAAAGATAGGATTTGCATAACTGAAGTCATTTAACTGACTTCATGACTGAGGGGTTTTGTTTGTTTAATTATAGGTTTTGGGCTGGAGGATAGTTTCAAGTATTGTTTGGTCAGTGCTGCTTCTGCCCATCTGTACCACAGTATTTATAATCTTCAGCAGCATTGATTTATTTCATCCTATACAGTGGCTGACAGGTAAGTGACGTTTAATTTGGGGAAGAATATTACAGGATCTGCTTTTAAGCATAAAAATTGCATTGTGTTTCAAATAATTTATTTTTAATTACTGCCTATATTGACATGTCAGAGCATTCACTTTGACAGCATTCACTTTGAGGTCATTTAAAGGCATGCCCTTCATAATGTAAACCACCTTTTGATTATATAATAAGACTAGTGAACCTGTCAGGGACTATGTATAATCACAGGAACAAAAAGATTATTAGATGACCACATAAATGAAAACTTAATTTTTGTTTGTCTTTCCTTTTTGATAGCTTTATTGAAATTGTTTGTCTTTTTATTTATTTATTTTTTTTATTTTTATTTTTTTTTTGTCTTTTGTCTTTTTCCGTGTCCGGCAACGGATCACAACCCTCAGTGTCGCCCCCGTACCGGACCGGGGACCGGCAACGGGATCGCAACCCTCGGCGCCGCTCCCGCGCCTTGCTCAGCCAGTGAGCGGGAACCGGTCTGTATGTGGGATCCAAACCCTCGGGCGGGAGCGCCGCCGCGCTTCCCAAGCGGCGCACTATCCAGTGCGCCACTGGGCCGGCCAAATTGTTTGTCTTTTTAGAAGAATGTTTCAGTCATCTATTTAAATTAGGGATAGAAAATATATATATCTCTTTAAAAATATGTCAGAAATTAAGAATACTTCATTCCTATGTGTGGCTAATAAAAAAGATGAGAAGAGAGAAAAGGAGGAAAGAGTTAAAGACTAGGGAAGATAGAGTTAAACATAAAAATTGATAAGGAAGAAAAGATTGAGGCAGGCTAAAATGCTTCTCAAAAATCCTTGCAGACTGGGCCGGCCTGGTGGCGCACTGGATAGTGCGCCGCTTGGGAAGCGCGGCGGCGCTCCCACCCGAGGGTTCGGATCCCGCATACGGACCGGTTCCCGCTCACTGGCTGAGCGAGGCGCGGGGGCAATGCCGAGGGTTGCGATCCCGTTGCCGGTCCCCAGTCCGGTACGGGGGCAACACTGAGGGTTGTGATCCGTTGCCGGACACGGAAAAAGACAAAAAAAGACAAAAAAAAAAAAAAAAATCCTTGCAGACAAAATAAAATTACTAGATTTATTAAAATATAACTATTCTATGCTAATTAATAATAGCTACCAATTATTGCCCATCTACTGTGTGCCAGGCACCATGTTAAGCACCTTATGTATATTACCTCTTATCCTTCCTATAACCCTGTATAATAAAGAGATATTATCTCTATTTTATAAATGAGGAAACTGAGATTCAGGTTAAATAATCTGTGCAGAGACACAGCTACTGAGTAAGTGAACTGGGGTTTAAACATTGGTCTCTAACTTCAAAGCCTGTGTTGTTGTTTTTTTCCCACTATACCACACTAGAATTAAAAAATAAATAAAAAGATAAATGTTGTAAGAATAGGTTTTGAAGTCTTGCCTAAGGCTAAGAAGCACAAATACCCTTGAAATCCTTTTTCTCTCCCTTCTCAACAATAACGATAAATTTCTTTTGCTTTGGAAAGAGGGAAGTGTGTTTTTAATTTCATTTTTCACAAGAAAATGCCTATTTTCAAAGAGTTAGAATTTTCACTTTCAGGTCTATGGAGATATTGCTACTAAAGAATTAAAGTTGTGTTAAATTTTTGGTTCATATATGTCCATGATTTCTGGGATAGCTCCCATACATCAGATGAAATTAAGCCATAAACCAGAGCAGTAAAGCAAGTATTTTTGTAGCCATATTGCTCGTGTCTGTATTGCTTATTGATCATGGCTTTCTAGTTACAACCTCAGAATACTCAATATTGTATTCCAGAGCCATTACCAATTGTTCACATTGGCACTGAGGATAAAAACTTTTTGACATTTCATGGCCAGGGTTTCTTTAATCCTAATAACATTTTCTTTCTCTCCAGATTGGATTTGATTTATGACATTTTTCTCTTCAGATGTTTCTTGTCCTTAACTTTTGGTTCACAAAGTTTTTTCAGAGAAATTGTACTCTTTTTACTTACCCTTAGTCACATGAGTAATTTCTTTCTTTTGGCTCAGTATGCTTGGGTTTAGTTGTGAATGCTTAGTAAATATTCCTCATTAATTTTGGCCAATGAATTGTACTTTTAAGGATAATTGCCTTTATTATTAAGTCTTAGTCTATTCAGCTAACACATCCTTACTGTTTTTATTTCTCTCATTCATGTTTTTAGGCATAACATATCCATATTTTTTTTTTTTTTAAAAAGATGACTGGTAAGGGGATCTTAACCCTCGACTTGGTGTTGTCAGCACCACGCTCAGCCAGTGAGCGAACCGGCCATCCCTATATGGGATCCGAACCCGTGGCCTTGGTGTTATCAACACCGCACTCTACCGAGTGAGCCACAGGCCGGCCCTTTAGCATTTTTTTTTTTTGTCTTTTTGTCTTTTTCATGACCGGCAACGGATCGCAACCCTCAGTGTCGTGCCCGTACCGGGACCGGCAACGGGATCGCAATCCTCTGTGTTGCACCCGCACCTCGCTCAGCCAGTGAGCGGCCAGTCTGTATGTGGGATCCGAACCCTCGGCGGGAGCGCCGCTGCGCTCCCAAGTGGCGCACTGTAGCAGTGCACCACCGGGCCAGCCCCAGCATATCCATATTTTAAACTTTGAAATGGAATACTGATGGTTGAACTAGTCCAAAATATGAATGCATTAGTATTTCACAGGGACATTACAGTTTTTGTTTTTTAGTTCAATTCATTTAGATGATTCATGGATTATGCCATTTCCAAAAATGTTATTTTGACTTTAGCTGTAGGAATCAATTGCATTTATTAAGAAGATTCTGATCTGAAAAATATTTACATCTTAAAAAGAGACTTTGTTGGTATATTACTAAATATGGTACTTCTGTTTCATATGATGAGATGTTCATATATGGTAGTATTTTATCTGATGTTAACATTTGGATGATTTAAAAGAAATTCTAGTTTTTGTTTTATTTTGTTTTGTTGCTGGCTGGTGTGTCTAGTATTTTAACGTACCCGGAGTCGGGTCCAAATAACTCCCACTGTAGTTCTTGAGTTGATGTCCCACTGGACCTGTCAGCAGTGTACAATTAAATTCTTGAAGGAAAGATAACTTAAAATTAAAATTATAGGGCCGAGCCCGTGGCACACTCAGGAGAGTGCGGCGCTGGGAGTGCAGTAGTGCTCCTGCCACGGGTTCGGATCCTGTATAGGGATGACCGGTGCGCTCACAGCGCTCACTGGCTGAGCGTGGTGTGGCCAGTCTCAAAAAAGACCAAAAAAAAAAAAAAAATTAAAATTATAGCTGTGGTTCAAACTTTTTTTATATTGCAGTGTACTGAACATGACTGTTACTGAATAAACTTTACTAATTGATCTCTCTTGTGTTTTAGATTCTTTCAATGATCTTTATAGTTCCTACGTAATCTTTTACCTCCTGCTGCTGTCAGTGGTAATAATAATAATAAGTATTTTCAATGTGGAGTTCTATGCAGGTGAGTTTTCAAATTTTTTTTTTTTTTTTTTAAAGATGACTGGTAAGGGGATCTTAACCCTTGACTTGGTGTTGTCAGCACCACGCTCATCCAGGGAGCCAACCGGCCATCCCTATATGGGATCTGAACCCATGGCCTTGGTGTTATCAGCACCACACTCTCCCGAGTGAGCCACGGGCCGACCCTCAAATGTTAATCATCTTAAAAATGTCTGAATTTACTAAGGGCAGACTCAATGCAATTTATATATGGTTGTGTTTAATAGGCTGTGTTTTGTGTCAAAATTTTAAAATATACAGAATCATATGCTTTGAATTTCGTACTTTGAAATTCATTTGGGTACTAGTTTCTTTGTTTTAAAAATATATTTAGACCTTTTAGAACAAGTTATTTCACTTTTATGCTGTACCTAGAGTATTCAAATTTATAGAGACAGAAAGTAGAATGGTGGTTCTCAGGAACTAGGGAGATGGCGGAAATAGGGAGTTGTTTAATGGGTAGAGTTTCATTTGTGGAAGATGGAAAAATTTGGAAGATGGATGGTGGTGATAGTTGCACAACAGTGTGAATGTACTTATGCCACAGAGCTGTACACTTAAAAATGGTTCAAATGGTAAATTTTATTAATGTGTGTTTTACCCCAATAAAAAATTTTGTTTTTTGGGGCCGGCCCGGTGGCGCACTGCTACAGTGCACCGCTTGGGAAGCGCGGCAGCACTCCCGCCGAGGGTTCGGATCCCACATACAGACCGGCCGCTCACTGGCTGAGCGAGGTGCGGGGGCAACACCGAGGGTTGCAATCTCGTTGCTGGTCCCGGTCCGGTACGGGTACGACACTGAGGGTTGCGATCCGTTGCCGGTCACGAAAAAAGACAAAAAAAAAAAAAAAAATTTTGTTTTTTGCAGCTAGTATTAAAGATGTGATTTAGCAGATGTATTATAAAAATAATTCCTTTGTAGGGCAGGAGATCAAGACTATGTGTTTCTGTTTTTGTTTGTGTTTGTGATTGGCCGGTACTGGGAACCAAACCCTTGACCTTGGTGAAGACCAGGTGATTTCTTTTTAAATACAAAAGTCTATAATTCTGTGCTTTTCCAAAAAAAGCTTAAAAGTAATTATGTTTTGTCTTGGGAAAATCACCTGTTAGATTCCAGTGCTTTTTTATTTTTTTTTCCTGTTTCTCTTCTTACTCTTCCTGCCTTTTCAGATTCCTTGAGTCTGTCCTTAGATATAATAAAAAGCTTTTTCTGACACTTCTTTTTTTGACTGTAACATCATTCTTTTTAGCTCTTCATCACTTACTTGTAAAATATGGTATAAAATTTCAAATGCTAACTGTGGATGTTATAATACATTTACTTTTTCTTTGCTTTCTTAATTGCTTACTACTGGCTGGTGGGTCTCTTTCTCTATTCAAGCCCTATTCAGAACTCCCTGGCTTAGTTCTTTCACACACTCCCCTGTACCTGGGTTGTCTTCTATAAGTAGATATGCCAGACGAGGGCTCTCCAGCCAATCATTCTTAATGCCTGGCAAGTGCCATGCACTGTGTAGGGGTAAGAGATAAGTGATATGGTGCCAGCTTTCTCCAGAGGAACACAGTTAGTGGGGAGACAGACAGTAAGCATATTTGATTACAGTACATTGGATAGTGTGGGAGTATATAGGAGCACTCTTACCCAGCATTCATTCTCACAGATGAATTATATATTGACAATTTCCAGTGCTGAAATAAAGACAACTTGCTGCAGGGCAGGAGCTAACTCTTTAATATTATTATTTATTTTTTTATGTGTTTAGGAGAGTGCTAGGGTGGGCACAATTTGAGCTATCAGGAAATTTTAATTAAAAAGAAATGAAAAATGTGAATTATGCTCTCCTTAGGTTCCATCCCTCTAGATTTTTTGGTTTTTCTTTTTGTGTGTGTGCATCTCTTTATATTCATTCTTTTCTCAAAAATTTTTAACTTAGACTTTCTCTGTACTATATTTTACATTGACTGTGGATTTTTTCCTGCCCTTTTTAGTATTTGTGCAAGGATGAAAGGGAATAGTTTTAGCTTCCCTAACTTCATGTGCTACAGATTATAAAGCAACAGTAATGTATTTTCTTTGCAGTTGTGCCTTCCGTTCCCTGCTCCAGACTGGCACTGATTGGGAAGATCATTCATCCTCAGCAACTCATGCACTCATTTATTCATGCTGCAATGGGAATGGTTATGGCTTGGTGTGCCGCAGTGATGACCAAGGGCCAATACAGTTTTCTTGTGGTTCCCTGCACTGGTACCGAGAGGTAATATTTAATATGTTTTGTCTAAGGAACCTTGTATAGTTACTAAGCCGAAGGTGACTTATATAGGTTAATACCTTATGAACATTCTTTGCTTTCTAGACTTCTACAGAATGTGCTTTTTTACATGCATCAAGTGTTTTGATGTTTTACGTTTGTTCAATTCAGTAATTTTTAAAAACCATTTGTTATGTGCTGGGTGCTATGCTAGGTACTGTCAGATTTATGAGAGTGGTTCAAACATACATAAGACTATCAGCTTTTTGAGAGTTAAGAACAATAGGAAAATTAAGACATGGACACAGATGGATAAAATAGGAAGAAGAAAGTGAGATGTGCAGATAAAACCTGTCGGAATTCAGAAAGTAGGGAGGATCCACACATGTTCCTGGAGGAGGTCGCATTAGTTGGAGTTTGAAGGAAGGGTAGTGTGGAAAGAATGAAGAAAATTGTAAAAGTTATTATAATTACCTTCCCTTATAGAGTGCTTTTGTATTTTTGAAACTTACAGTTCTTGAACACATGACATTGATATAAATTGCATGTTGATGTTCTGACTTTAAAAATCCAAAAAGAGGGCTGGCCCGGTGGCACACTGCTACAGTGCGCCACTTGGGAGCGCGGTGGCGCTCCAGCCGAGGGTTCGGATCCCACGTACAGACCGGTTCCCGCTCACTGGCTGAGCGAGGTG